GTTTTTTTTCTGACCGTTCGGGGTGACAGGGTGACAGACGTCGACGAAGAACGAAAGTTAGTACGTAAAAAGTCTCCTGGTGGTGTGATCTACAGTGACGAAAGTTTTCGTGACCGAAAATTTGTACTTACATGTTTACACTAGTTAGTAGTTTATTTGTTTACACTAGTTTGTTGTAGTTCTAGTCGATGTACAGAGATCATGTAGTTACCTAGTACATTGTAGTAACAAGAGTCCATAAATGTTTATGCACTCTTGGTAGTAATACTACTTACTATAGGCTTGCTCCCCACACTGGACTCGGCTCGCACTTTTCCCGACTTGACTTGACACTTGAGTGACTCACCAGTGCCATCGAGAGCACACGAGAAGTCCATCGCACCTTCGACTCGGCAAACCTGCTAGAAAGCACGACTCCCTGCTCTAACTAGTACTATTCGGTACAGTCACTACACTGAGAGAAGACCAGTCCGTGTTGGCAGTTTGCCATAGCTTCAACATTGCAGTTTGACATTGTTCAGGTCTGAGTGCAGTCCATACCCAGTATTGTGCGTCTACTGTATGTTCCGGCCACATAGCCGACGCTTTTCACTAAGTCTTGTCTTTCAACGACACGAGCAGCTTTGGTCCCTCTACTTTCGCTATCAATGGCCGCCGCCGACACAGCTCAAGTGCACGATGAAGAAGAGGAAGCGGTAGAGGACGAAGACGGGTTTGTTGTGATCAACCTACCCTCCGCACAAGGAGAGACACCCAACGATTGGCTTGCTGGATGCAATACACGTAACACCCGTACTGAGAGCAAATCGATCTGGGCGATATTGACTGGCGCTTTTATGTCGTTCCGCTCCTTGCGTTCAGGGAATGGGAAGCGCCAACAGCGGCGGGAATACCGTTCCCGTGAACTTGATGATGTGGCTGCCGGCTTTGATGAAAGCACACGACCCTGCGAGGAAGCTAATGATTGTACGCGTAGGGATAGGGACGAGTTTGAAAAAGACGGACCAACAACGCCAACACATCGTCGTGGAGTCACGAAACGTCACCAGTCAACAGCGCTACGGAATCTTTCTGATGATGATGATTACCGAGACGAACAGGAGCGACAGAATCTTCAGAGACACGTGAACAAGATGGATACTGAGTCTATCATGTGCGCCCCACCCATACCCACAGGTGATTCGATGGTTTCCTCTGCCGAGTGTGCCCACAGGCCATTGCCACCATTCGAGGTGTGTAGACAATTCTGGAAGTGTTTCTTCTTGGCGAATAGTGCAGATGAATTCAATGCTCTCTGTTACAGAGTGCCTAACGATCATTTCGTGGGTGCGCCTATCTTCGCTGAACAGGTGAAATTTGTATACATCGAAAAGAAGAGAAGCTTCTCGACTCACTCAGTGGACGAATTTTCCCGCCAAGTGAAGTCGCTAGTTATCGACTCGGACCAGGTTAGTGCAAGTGATGACAGTGCAGCGGGCGTGATGGTGCTACCTGGTGAGTTGGGCGTCGTGCGCGCGTCAGGTCAGGCCGTGTTCAAAGGTGTGAACGGCCCTTGCTCGCGCCTTAGAAGCGAGTTCGAAATTCGGTTTTCGCCAGTGGATTGGCTCTCGCTTAGCTGCTTTCACTGGCAGGTCTCGATGGTGACACTGACAATTGAAGGCGTCCTGGAGGGTGATTGCAGATCCAAGTAGTGCATGTGTTCCTGTACATAATGTACTCTTGTAACTCAGTCAATATTGCTTCAGCATGTTTGTCTCAAACACGGCAAATGACTGTAAATATGCATTACCGTTTTGCATATACATGTATTATGGTTTCAAATGTAAACGATTACTTAAATTCGTTAAAAAAAGTGTTAGAATTAAATGTTCGTTAACGCAACTTACACTAGCACTTGCACACAGCCTGTCACAGGCACATGAACAGCGGCTGACTATGAACTACATCATGATTGCTATGTTTCATAATAATATTATTATAAGCAATGTCTACACTTCTGCTCAATGAAATCCGATCGAGTGAGCTTTCGAAGATTCCCTGGACCCGCCTGCCTGGCCGTGGCTGGAGGATGGCTTGGAAAATAATTGAAATAGAGATGTGAAAACAAATAGATTGAGCAGCAATGCAATACAAAGTCCAAAAACTCAAGAATTCACTACATTCAAGTATTAAATCGTCATGGGACAGTGTTCGGCATATATCTGTGACGTACCAATCTGCTAATAGGCCATTCACACGACGTGTTAACACTTGCACATGTGTGACCAAGATAACACTGGCAAACCGTGATCCAGTCCACACGGTGCTGGGCAAAATTCGCAACCGTCAATGTATCCATAGTGACCTCCTGAAAATGCCGGGAAATGTTCAATTTTGTATTTTCCCTTGTTAAAGCACTGCATTTGCAGTACGCACTTTCAACAACCGACACTTTTCCTGGCGTGCAAAGATAATCGCGAGCAAAAGGGCCTCGGCCAAGATAAAAAAATCAGTTGCACGCGTGTGTCCAAGTTTATCGTATCCGAGTAAATGTCCTTGGAAACGGTACGATAAAAGTAAGTTTGCCCGTCGTTTGAATGGCCTATTAGGCTGCTGTCAGCGGGCAAAGAGTCGTGCAGTTCATCCTCTTGCGGCGGTAAGATGATCTCACACCACGCAAACAGGTGACCGCACATCGCATGAGCTTATAAGGGGGATTATTCCTAAAGCCTCTTGTACGGGAAAAAAGAAATAGATCGTGAAATCAATAGTGATGAAAAACAACAACGCAAAGAAAGAGGAAGCAGGACACAATGTCAATCATCCATCTAACCAGCCAGGGTAGTTAGAGCACATTAAGTTTTAAGAAACCCAGGACAGCATGGACGTATATTACGGTATTACAGCAAAACAGTTGTGCACATGACGGGACATAAGGAGGACTACTACTACTAAATGACATTGTAGACGCACCTTTCTCCGGGTAATATCGACCTACTGTACAAGTAGGGATGGTCTGGAATTATTTTGCCGGCTTTCCAAGTTGCGCTATTGCAAATAATGATCTGCTTTGATAGTAGTGACTGCTAAGAATTGCCTGGGTTTGACTTTGGATGGTCTTCAATCATCTGTCCAATCACATTATCATGAATTCTCAATACAAGTTTTTTGACACTCGCAGGGACTCGCTGTCATGTCGTAAAAATAAATTAAAAATAAACTACATGACATAATGTGGTATCTACCAAGCCCTGTAGCCTAGTGACGTAAGGTAGGCACTACTACTAGTACTTGTACGTTTAGCCTGTATACTGTGGGGTAGTGTGTAGGCGAGAACTGAGGTCACGTGTACACGCACCTATCAGGACGAACGTGATGATCTACAATCTAGACGCGTCTGTCAATCTGCGGACGATTAAAGCGCTACTACTACTTTGTACGACTGATGACATTGGCATTGCTGTCGCAGAAATGAAGGTTACGGAGGGTTGAGCAGTGGCAGCATTTTTTTTGCCCTGCAGCTTGGCATGCGCCATGGCACCCAGCACGCAGATCGTAGTTTTACGATGGGCAAGACACTCGTCTACGCGTGCACGAGCCCCGTGGCGAGAACGCAGCCCAGCACCAAGGCTAACAATGTTACATTACCAATTCCAGCAAGAGTACATGACCCCTACTACTAGTACTAGTACTAGGTCTAGTTAGAAGACAATAATGTAGATCGCAATCATGTCCCTTATTCGTCAGTGGGATTTTGAAACCCAGATTTTGGCCGCGTTTTAAAGCCTCAAAAGCCCCTTTGATTACTCGTACTTCGAGTGTTTGTGATCTGATTCTCTGTACATACCGTGCTGGCAACTGAAATCCGACCCCTGATATGAGCGGTGCGCTCACATCGCAAAGACCCAACATAGCATGGGATAGTAAAAGCTGCGAAAATGGAGACCGCTACAAAAATAATTGTAGAATGTGAACGCACTGCTCAAGGGTCGGATTTCAGTTGTCGGCACTGTACATTAGGCACGTATAAGTACATGTATGGTAATTCTCATGATCATGCCTAAAGCCTAAAAGGGCGACAACATTTGGAGATACTAACTATAGAAATGCAGCATGTGTAGATCTTGAGAGATGACTAACAACAACTGAACAAGCCCCAATATTGCAATACATGTGGCCTATGGAGAGCCAATGGCGAGCGAGCCAATGACTTCGCAATGTTGAGCGCGCAAACTGTGCACATGCCCACATGTACAAGGCGACGCTGCTAGCAGACCGTGTGGTGATCGGTTGACAGCACGTACCGGTAACCTGTAACAAGGCGGAGTTAGCACTACAATGACAATGTATTGTTGAAAACTATCAAACAAGGCTTAGAAATTACTACTACTACCAACCGACCCTTTAGGCCCAGTGTAGTGTGTAGGCACGCACTGCGGCCACGTGTACACGCACTTGTCTAGACGAACGACAGTCGACACGGGGCATGGCCTACAATCAGTGACGTCAATCTGCAGAAGCCTAGAGCACTAGCAGTACTACATGACACTGCCCTTAGGCTGAGTACTATTAGTATTACTACTAATTCCATTACTGGTAACGGAAGTGAAGGTTACGGATGATTGAGCACTGCCTGCACATATGCGATGCATGCAGGCTGGCACTGTACTGAGCAAGCAGAGCGTGCGATGTGCGAGGCATTCGTCGACCACTGCCACTGGACCGTCAGCACCGAGACGAGAACGCAGTGCAGTGGCCGTGGAGCACCAAGTCCACGGGCAGTATTACCCGTGGCAGTAGCAACGACATCGAAACTGTAAAGACAATCATTCTCAGTTGCATGCAGTCCGCAAGCATTAGAATTTGGAGCAAGATGTACTGAAGAGCTGTTGGTAAAGGTAGTCCTGTGTCTTCCTGAACGCTTTACGACATTACGTGCCGTGTTTATTCTATCCACGACATCCGAAATTTACAAATAATTAACAAACAGCAAGAGAGTGTTGTGTACAGATCTAGTCAGTATGTCGTCACGGAGGAATTCTGGTAGCGAGGGGGATCATCAAGACAGAGAAAAGACAGGGAAAAAGGACGATGAGTTCGTCATGGTCGACGAGAGCTCCCTGCATGGATTTAGCGGCGCACACGCTGCCGCTGAAAACCAGACTACGGGTAGTTCATTGTGGGCCAGCGTCAAGTCCATTGGCAGTTCGGCATTGACTTTCATCCACGCTAAGCGTATAGGAGAGGGTGCTATGCCGAGAGAACCTGAAGTCCCTACATCGGTTAATCCACCGAAGTCTGCGCATATTGCGCAGGAGGTGGTGACGTGTGACCAGGAGACGGTAAGTGGAGTGCCATCGGCTGAACAGGGAGATTTTCCAAGTCAGAGCCCAGAGCCTCGTTCAAGGCGGCTGCCTGAAGGACATCCTGAGGTCGCCGTTGCTAGCGCCAGATGTCAGGCGGCCTTCAGTCACCGTTCTGAGAGCAGACGTGGGTCAGGGGAGGCGCAGCTTAGCACACCGCTACATCCCTGCCTCAGGCCTTTGATTCCCGAACCTCATACTCACGACCCGTCCAGTGATCGCAAGGGCGTGAAAGTCAAAGAGTTTCTCTCTGGCATATCCAGTAGAGCTGTACACGGGAATCAACCTACTAGTAGAACCAGAGACAACCTCTCTGCCACTGCAGACGAGGACAGCGAGGGTGATAATGATGAGCGCCGAAGGCTGGTGCCTGAAGACAAACTACCTACTCAGGTGGGACCAGCATCAGGAGTGGAAGATTCTTCCTCTCCCGTTACCTTCATTTGGTGTAAGAGCATTAGTTCTGAAGACACTGCCTCCACGTCGTCCATCGGCCGTGGCGTTGCAAGGGAATTGCAAAATGACGGTGTTCCGAACGAAGAAACTAAAGACTCAGCGGACGAATCTGATAAGTCGGCATCCAGCCTTGGCAATGCTAGTGTGTGTAGGCAACAACTGCAGAATCAAGACGAAGAGCTTGATATGTCGCCGGAGACGCAGGTGGCACCACAGTCCCCATGCACCAGCCAGAGCTCGTCCGCGTCCGATAGAACCGACTCTTTCTCCGTTGTCGGCGCTCCTCAGGATTCCGGCGACGCCTCGGATGGGACGGATTCTTTCTCCGTTGTCGACGCTCCTCAGGATTCCGGTGACGTATCGGATAGGACGGATTCTTTCTCCGTTGTCGACGCTTCTCAGGATTCCGCATCGGATTGGACAGATTCTAGCGACAACACTGATACAACCGATCTGTCCGATCTGTCTGACTCTGAATGTGAATCCCCATGCACCAGCCAGGCCACGTCGACTTCGGATGGATCGGATTCTTTCTCTGTTGTCTATACTTCTCAGGAGTCCGGTGATGCCTCGGATGGTCCGGATTCTTTCTCCGTTGTCGACGCTCCTCAGGATTCCGCATCGGATTGGACAGATTCTAGCGACAACACTGATACAACCGATCTGTCCGATCTGTCTGACTCTGAATGTGAATCCCCATGCACCAACCAGGCCACGTCGACTTCGGATAGATCGGATTCTTTCTCTGTTGTCTATACTTCTCAGGATTCTGGTGACCCATTGGAGTCATTAGATTGGCCGGATTGGAGCGACAACGATGATATCCGCGATCTCTACACTTCTGAGGATTTCAGTGACGCATTAGATTGCCCGGATTCGAGTGACAACGATAATACACCCGAACTACACACTTCTCAGGATTCCAGCGACCGATTGGATTGGCCGAATTCGAGCGATAACGATAATAAACCCAATCTGCACACTTCCAAGGATTCCAGCGATCCATTGGATTGCGCGGATTCGAGCGACAACGATGATGCACCCGAACTGCCAGATTCCGAATGTGAATCCGGGCACAGCGAGCCTGACACAACTACAGAGAATGTTCCAGTGGCTTGTGACGTTGCAGAAGGCAACGCGCTTCAGATCATTGCAAAGGAGAAAGCTGCAGTCTCAACTCCTGTAGAGCTTGACACAACTGAAGGGAAAATTTTAGTCGCTTGTCAAAATCCAGGATGTAACGCTATCCCGACAGCCACCAACTCGAAGCTGGGAGCCACTTTGGAGTCAACAGCTAACCGAACAGATGCGTTTTTTATAAAACTGTCTGGACAAGGAGGGCGAGTGCGAAAGGCTATCGTCGAGGCCCTCTATGCAGGCGAACGTGTTGAATGTGAAACCAATCAAGTTCTCTCAGAGAAAGGTTCAACAATTGAAGAGCTGACGCGCACACGAGGCCAGTCCAAAGCAACCGCACAGGAAAGCGTTGTTCGCAAAGTGGAAACTTCTGCTAGCGAGGCGAGTTGTTCCATCAGGCAGACCCAAGGACGAGAAAACTCCAGCTTGAGACTTGGACGAGAAGGAAACGTTGACAATACGTGTCGTCCAAGTCCTCGGTACCCTGTGTCTGATTCAGCACACTCCAACGCCACAGTTATTCCAGGCATTTCCTCACGCAAATCTCAGTCTTCCAAGGATGGTGAACACATGTCCGGCCCGAGACAGGGCTGCGCCAAAGTGTCTCATTCGCTGAACGACCAAGACAAAGTACGCTGGAGAACACTTCCGCCAGTCCCATATCCCATAATAGTTCATAACTGCAGACCGCCTTGGGACTCCTCCGATCATGTCGTATTCACACCGCCTTGGGACTCCTCCGATCATGTCATATACAAACCACCTTTCGGTCAAACAACGTCTCTACAGCTGGCGAAGACAACTGTGCAGGCAGCTACAGGAGACGCTGCCAAGCCATCCAACTTGGCTGAGAGGACCATCATTACAAGTGCCATTAGTCCGAACACAGCTGCGGTGGGTGATGTGTGCGCACAGCGTCATGACAGCAGTCTGATTGGGGGACTCTCAGACACGATGCATGCAGACCAACTGTCATCACGCAAGAGATCCGCAGCTCTCGGGTTTCCCGCTAAGGAGGACACACCACAGCCGTTGGCAATGCCTGCTATACGATCTCCTCCGCCTCCTAACGCGGGTAAGGAATCTTGGCCAAAAGAGCCGGGTGTCTCAAATTCCGGCTGCTGCTGGCCAATCAAACAGTTGTTGCGGCGGCGCTCCGGCAGAACGAGCCCCACTATACCGGAATGGTAATGATTTCTAGCTCCAGGGTCTTCCTAACAGAGAATGGCTCTCATGTGCAGTATGAATGCGAAGTGGTATTGAGAACTGGTGGAGCACATCAGACCCCGTCACCACGTCCACGATTCATGCCTGCCATGCTGCACCGCTGCTTTGCATGTCATGATTGGAAGCTGTGGCCTTAGTAAAAAAACAAACAAAAAAAACTGCTGATGGATACGAACCTGGAGCCGGCCAATGGTTAGTAGCCGGTGTATTTCTCAAGAATTTGTCCATTAGTGACGGACGATATCCCCGGTTCTGACCATACATTGTCTTCCATCTCCATAACCTCTTTAGTCCCTGGATTGCTACGACTTAGGCGTTAGGGTGGTTGGCACTTCCTCCGAGCGTGAATCACCTCGCACGATCTTTACGCTTGCGAGGTTGTGTGTGTGTGTGTGTAGTAGTAGTAGTAGTAGTAGTAGAATTTATTTTTTTGATAGGGAAGGCCCTACATGTATACAGACGTTGCCGTCTTGTTACAGGGAACCCTGTGTGTGTGTGTGTGTGTGTGTGTGTGTGTGTGTGTGTGCGTATGTGTGTGTGTGTGTGTGTGTGTGTGTGTGTGTGTGTGTGTGGTGTGTGTGTGTGTGTGTGTGTGTGTGTGTGTGTGTGTGCGCGTGTGTGTGTGTGTGTGTGCATCGATGCATTTCAACAATCACGAGACAATAAACACTAAAACTTTCATATTCATTTGTTTTATGTGTATTGCAGTGTGTGAGTTTGTCGCAAAAAACGGTGCGTGTCGAGCTGTACAGTATTTTGTATTTTGTTTTTAATTTACATCGCAAGTCAAACGGTCAATCATGATGACAGATGTTGCGCGCTACAAAATTTTCTGGCTTATGTTCTTAGACTCGATCTCGAAGGATGTGGGCGACCACGCTGGGGCTATCTCGAGTTCTACATGCACGCCATCAGACTCTGCAGCGTGTGGATATATATACACTGCACATGTACTTGAAGCACCATCCTGTGTATCACAGTATGGAAACTTAGAGACGATAATTTTCAAGAAAACCAATCAGATCCCCTGGCTCTCCTACCCTGTCCTTGCCTCGAGTATCGTGTTCACTGGTGTGCACAGCCTCTTGTGTCGTTAAGCTACAGTTAAACCTGGTGTAAGCGACCTCTGTGTTTAGCGATCACCTGCTATTAACGACCGCTTTTCCATGCACCGACAGTTCTACACAGACACAGTGGGACCTGGTTCTAAAACCCACCTGGCTTTAGCGACCGATTTTGCTTGCACCGTGGGGTGGTCGCTTAAACCAGGCTTTACAGGACATGTGCATGGCTGTACTCTTCTTCCTTGTACGCCTTTTAGGACATCTCAGGACCTACGTCGTACATATACATATACATGTACAACGGGTTTACCATGGCTGCATAACATGTATCTTTAGGTATGTTAAAATTACGGCATCAGGGACCTGTCAGGTTTCAGGTGTAACGTAGAATTTCAATGTAGGTGACCAGCTTTCCCTGTACATACAGTACACACTCCAGTGCCATTTAAGCATAAAGTAAACTTAGATTTCTCTACGGAAATTAGACAAATTTAAGTTTCACCGAAAATAACATAATTATTATGCAGAATGCAGTTCCACAGCATGCATAAAAAAACCGGTTGGAAGAATGCACTTACAAGTCAACTACTTAGAAGTAATAGTCGGCACATACCGGTACTAAATTTCGGCGAAAGTGTATCCAAGATGTGCTAGAGCTGTTAGCCAGTTAGTTGAAGGACGTCAGTACCGTCGGTCAGTGTCGTGCAATGTTATCGCATGAGCTGATTGTTTAGTAACTGATAGTGTTAGTGGACACTATTGCGTAACTTGTACAGTTTCTTGGTGCTTTTTTCTGTACTTTAAAGTGTATTGCGATAAAATTTTGTTCGGCATGGTTATTATTATTATTTTATTATTTTTTTTCTCAATTCTTTTTTTTTCTGTGGTTGGCTTTCACCCTTGTCTCAGTTTTATTGGCCGTCATCATGATGTGCCATGAGATAATGATATAAATACAAAAAAAAAAATTCATGGATGACATGGCGTCAACCAATATTATGAATGAGGGCTACCAGCCATGGTTTAGCGTGACAGTGGCAGTAACGGCTGAAATTTTTAATGCAGCCGAAATGTGGCTTACAATGTAGATCTAGTAGGAGGCTGAAATTCAAACCAGCCGAAAAATTGTTAAACCTACAGTATTAATAATCTGCGAGGAGATATTGTTACGGACGAAGAGCTGCGCAAGCATTCTTATCAGTATTCAGGTCTACTCGCTGGCATGCCGTTACCCGCACATACATGTACATCATGGATTTTCACCTACCGATTACTCTTTAGCATGACGATCGAATATTCAGTTATAATCGCTAGTAAACAGTTCATGTCGATTTTGCGTGCAAAAATTATTACATTTCCACGGTTAAGTTGTGACCAAAATGACCAAAGATGGAAGAATAGCTCTGAAAAGCAGCGAGTTTTTACTGAATTAATCCCTTATTACAATCATCACCACTGGTAATAGTAAAACATTGTGTTTACTGCTGGTTGAAACATCAACAGGAAGGGTTCAATTTAGGTCGTTTTGGGTGTAAAATATGACACAACCAAAACCGTAACGATTGGCTACATCCACTGCTCTTTGGTATAATCGTTTCAACCGTAGTAAACATTACACATTTACTACAGTGATGGTCAATGATTCGCTGGAATCAGGCAGCATTTTTCGCTGCTTGGCTATTGTTCCGTATTGATCCGCTCACCTCTGTACACAAATGGAGACCGCTTCGATAGGCCTAATGGCCTCTGGGGAATCCTTGAAATATTTTTTAAAATTCAAAATTCTCTCCGTTCTCCTTTATTTTTTCTTTCTTTCGGTGAAATGTCTGTTCGGCGAATTGGCCGCTCGGTGAACTGTCATTCTGTGAGTTGTGCATTCGGTGAAATGGGCATTCTGTGAACTGGGTATTCGGTGAGCTGTCGTTCGGTGAACTGTCGGATGGTGAACTGTCGGTCGGTGAACTGTCGTTCGGTGATATGTCGGGACACCCATCGATATTATGTAATTATCGCATTCGAATCCTTCAAAGAATAGCAGTTTCACCGCATAACTGTTTCATCGAAAACATGTCGCTGATGCCAGGACTACACATCATATTTGGATCCATTTGTTCCGCGGAGAGACATTGCCGAGTGGTTTAATAGTGACCTACTTTGAAACTTACTACATCGGCGGGCTAAAAGATGATAGGACCAGAAAAAACGCCTTTGTTTCACCATCAGTCGGGGTACTCGTGGAACGCCCACACAAGAACGGCTAGTGGAGTTGGGTCAATAAGTGAGGAGCGGTACTGGAATTTTGATCAGCGCCTGCGCACCGTAGTGATCACTAGGAGTTGAGCAACACGTACCACTGGAATTTTGGGCGCCATTGTCCATAATCTGGCTTTCTTTGTGGAGCCGTGTTGTGATAATTTCTAGGGCTGAAACGAATGCTCTGTGAAACGAACGAATATTCTTTTCCGAATACATGCGAAACGAAGAATATTCCGAATTTTCTAAACCATGCAATTTCCATGGATACCTAGTTTTATCCATGGTAACCATAGACCATTAACTGGCATACACCCCAATTACAAGAGAGACATTTGAAAAATCATTTGTCTTGCTGATTATAACACATGGAAAGAAGCAAGCCTACTTATATTTTGCACAAAATAAGGTTGATCGATGTCAAAAAGGCGAGTTTCTGTACATTTACGAATATTCCTATTCTACTTTAACGAAGAATATTCTTTTTCCGCCTTGCATATTTCGAATATTCGAATACTTTGAATATTCCTTTCAGCCCTAATAATTTCCTATAATATTATGTCGTCATACAAAAACTGAACCAGCTACATGTATCTATCCGTTTCACGGGCTTCACCACTGTTGTAACAGTTATGCAATATAGACTTTTGATATTAGGCCAAGGTAAGTGATTTTCGGTGAATTGTCCATTCGGTGAAAAAATGCGTCTGTGAATCGGGAATCGACGAAACCGAATTCTGTGAATGAAAATTCTGTGAATTGATATTTCGGCGAATCCATATTGGTGGTGAACTGTCATTCTGTGAAACGCCTTTCGGTGAAACGTCGTTCTGTGAATGGTCTTTCTGTGAACGCGTTTTCGGAGAAGTCTTGAAATTTTCTTGAATCTCTTTTCATTGTAACCCCAACTAGAAAAGGCGGCTGTCAAAAGTATTCATTTGCATCAGGAGATCGATCCCCTCGGCAGGCCATCGCCTCTGGGAGATCCTTTAGAGAAAGGATATTATTTTTGTGGTTCTGTTATACTGTTCTGCGTTGAAAGTAATCTTGTCCTCTATCGGTACTGTATTCTGGATCGGGGACCGGGACCAGGCAGTTGTGCTTAAAAATAAACAATACCCGCTAGTCTAAACACTCGTAAATCATTGCTCCGGATTTGTGTTACAACCTCGGTTGCGAGTGCTACATACATGACTTGTATACATTTGCCTGACTACATCGCTACATAACCTCTTTTTAATGTGTAGCAACGTGGTCAGGTAAATGAACAGCATTTCCCGATAATATCCCGATAATTATGAATTTATCCACTATTACTATATCTATGAAACTCGTTATGCTGCTCAAACCTCACATAATGCTCGTTTTGTTCCTTCTAATGCTCCGATGCTCGGATTGTCTCATAATGCCGGTATTATCGGCTGGTCCCTAACCAAGACCAGCACCCTGAAGACTGCGACTGGTAAGAATTTGATTTTAGGGTACACTTCCCCTTTAATTCCGTATTTGTTTGTTTGTTTATTTGTGCTGG